AAGAGTGGCTGTTTTGGTGTCCAGCTCTTTCTTCAACCTGGCCGACACTACAATACTTTACATAGATGCAGTTCCCAGCTTATTAGGCACAACCTAGCTAAAACTAACACAATAAATCCTCCCTCCAGAGGTGATAAGGTCCAGTTTGTGATAAAACTGTATGGATTCATCTGGATGATCACTTGGGTGGCCGTAGTTTGTGCTGCTGTTGCACTGCATTGGGTTGCGTTATGCAGAGAGCTGTTCCTGTTACATGGCCTACCCTTGTTCACATGGATGGGATGGACAAGACCTTTTCTAGATGGCAGGTTTTGGATGTTCTTCTCATATGGGTGGTGCTACAGGAAGTGTTGCTGAGTGCATGATGATCAGGCAGTGAAAAAATTCTTGCTGCCCACATTGAATAATAAAAATTCAAACCTCCTACACAAATCTGATCCCATTTCCTTGGAGTGGGTGGAAATGAGTGAGCAATTTAAAAGGAATCTAATAAAGATTGGTAAGCAGTTTAAGCAAAGGACTGAAACAGAAACTAAGCATGGTAATGTATTGCCAGACAAACAACTTGAGTAACAATTACTTCTCAAAAAATCTTGTAGGAGGGATGGTGAAGTTGATTCTTTCTCTGTGCTCAGTCATGAATGCTGTAAGGCTGGGTTTCATCACTACTGAATGACTAAAAGAGTAGTAATACAGCTGATAATATGGTACACCAAAGCCCCCATCTGAATTACAAAGATGTCATTTTTATCCACGCTTGATTGCCTGTCCAACTAAATACAACCTAGCTGAAGGCATCTTCTCCAAGTGTCCCAGCAGTGGTAGCAGCAGCACAGCAATACTTGAATCGATACAAGTTAACCGTTGAAATCCATCCTGCTACAGTGAAGGGAAGATTTCACCACTTGCTCAGGTCAGCTGTAGTGAATTTAAAAATGGCACTAAAATTCTTCAATATTATGAACAACCCCAAATCATAAAAAGTTGGGACAGTGTGTAAAATCAAAATTCAAACTGAATACAGTGATGTGTAAATCCCCTGTGTTCTGTGTTACATTGAAAACAATACAGCAGCACATTATTTGATACCTCATCAGTTTTATTCTTTGTTCAACATAAACACTCACTACAATCCTCATGCTGCAACACATTCCAAAAAAGTTGGACGGCTGCATTTCAGGGCCAGTAATGAGGTAAAACAATGAAATGATGACTCCATTTGAAACAGGTGATGTCAACAGGTGACTGCATCATGATTTGGTACAAAAGTGGCATCCAGGAAAGGCCGAGCCCTTTAGGAGCAAAGATGGGCCGAGGACCACCAGTTTGACAACATATGGTTTCAAGGTTTCAAAGATTTTTATTGTCAATTCTCTATATGTGCTGGACATACAGAAAAATTGAAATACTGTTTCTCTCACCTAATATTAAATGCCAAACCATTTAAGAAAATAAAATAGAATAAAAGCAGAATACAGATAGAATAAAATAGAATAAGAAAACTAAATTAGAGTAATTGGAGTAAAACTTCAAAATTTATAGACACTTTTAGGTTGTCTGTCCAACCTTTTATCCGTACCTCTGTCTCATTCTTGTGGACACGATATCAGGAACACCTTTAAAGGAATTTCTTCAAATTTGGCAAAAATGTCCAGTTGGACCCGAGGATGAACTGATTACATTTTGGTGGTCAAAGGTCAGTGACCTCACGTCTTCATTTTACTAACACTGGCAGTTTTGTTTTACACAGTTTATCAGTGATATAGTATCCTTGTTTGTTTTGTTTAGCTTGAAAAGGCTGTAACATGCTCACAAATTGTGTGTGTTCGTGCATGCACGTGCGTTGTGGCAGATCCGTCCTAAGCAAGGCAGTTTGTGTCCAGGGAAGAGTGCTCTTGGTGCTTTTACCTTCAGCTAGATCTTATCTGTCAGGTACCAACAGCAGTATATTTGGATTCAAAACTGCATTTTGTTGTTTTGTTTCATTCTTGAGCCTATTTTAGTCCTTGTTGGTGCACTACACAAGTTTTCTATGATGCACCTCATGTTCTCCTTTTCCTTCATGTTTTTCAGCAAGCAGTATTGGTTTGATATGAGGCTTTGCAGCACTGGGAGGAAGAGAAAGTGAGACGGGGAGATGAATTCACAATCACAGACGAAAACCTTACAGAGTCAAAGGGTTTTAACAAAGTCTAAATCTTACAAACAAATTGTCATATTTTCAAAATGATATAACTAAATAAACTTTTACATAAGAATTTCTTTTACTCCTGCTTAATAAAAGTCCCTGATCTCCAACCACCAAGCTTCCATCCCTGTCTTCCTCAGGTGCCTTCAGTCAGTCAAGCCCCAGAAGCCTGAAACCACTTGTTCAAGCATATCCCTCCATCCCCACCAGCACATGGCTCTGGGAAAGACCTCTTCCAACACATACTCACCTCTCTGCTATGGTGACACTTACACAGACATCCACATATACACAGTAAAGACCCTGATGTTAGACGTCATTTTTAAATTAGGTGATAATTGGATTTATAGTTGGGATATGTGCATCGTCACCATTGTTTATATATGTGTGTGTGTGCGCGTGCCCACTTGGAATTACCCACACAGTGGAGACTGAACCATGTTTACACGTTCACACCATGGAACGTGGTGAACCCCCTCTATCTTAAGGATAGAGTAAGGGGTTGGGCAAGTAGGGATTATGGTTAAGGTAAGGGGCTAGGGAATGTCAGTGAGTGTCCTCACAAAGATAGAAGTGTGTATGTGTGTGTGTTTGTGCGTGAAGGATCTCCATTTATAGAAATTCAAGCAGAAGAGAATCTCATTCATTCGGCTGTTGTGGAGATCACAGGGACACACACCGGGTTATCCCACCTCTACATGTGATTACGTTACAGTGTGGAAGACTTGAGGTAAAAGCATTTTTCAAATATTTGATTTTAAGTGATTTTTTTGTGAAAACAGATTTCTACATTTATGACTCTCTGTTCTTGTTAAAACATTTCAGTGATTGAAATATAGCTTATCAGACAGTACTTGTTGCCAATCATTTAAAAGTCTTCATTGCCAAAAGAAAGTGGCTGAATAGTGCTGTGGAAATGTCTTTTTACTTCACCTCATGGTTGATAAATAAGTTATTTAAACTAAGGTGAATCTTAGGTTTTTTCAGACAGGGTTAATTTAAAATACTTGAGCTGGATGTCGGTGTAAAGAAACTGGTGTGAAGGTAGCAAGGTCAACAGTAAATATTTGAGATTGTCTAATTTCACTTTACACTGTTGCTTTTAGCACAGCTAAAGCTATTACCAACCTTCTCATACCCATAAGACAAAAAGAACCACCAGTCAAGTGCAAAATAAAGCAGTAATGCAATGTGTATTTAATTCACATCTATTTTTCATCTACCATTGCTCAATCACCACCACAAACTGGAGTGGAGCACG